AGTTTTATCATATGGGAACTCAGGCAGAGAGAATTCCACGTTCAACAAGACACAGAGGTACAAAGTAGCATGGGATGTTCCAAGAATCACAGACAGTCCAGTTCAGTGGCAGTAACCAAATTATGAAGTTCTATTTGTACTATCTGGGGGAGTTTGAGTGTTGTTCTGTAGTTAGTAAAGGCCACGTAATACTTTAAGCCAAGTAGGCAGGTGATTTCTGTAGTTACATTTGCTTAAAAATTATTCAAAAATCAATGTGAAAATTGTTTGTTGGGGGAGGTATGTTAAAGGGAGTAAAAAGCTTAGTATAGGTAGGAAATGGTAATTGAAGAAATTCAACCAGTGGCAGGGAGGAAGGGCTGGGTTGAGAATACACATCAGATATAGATTGCACAAATCTTAATGACTAGTTTTATTGTGAAGAATGTAGGATAAGAAAGAGCCCGGAGGAGTGGAGATCATACCCTAATGGCTTTAGAGAGAATTTAAAACAAAGGAAAACAAAATTTGATATGTGTGTTTTGTTTGAATTTCTGTAGTTTGTATTACAATATATTGATGAGGATAATGATCTCAGTTTGGGACAAAGACATAGTAGCAATACCTAGTAAGCTAAAACCACAGGTCATTGATCTCTGAAGCTAGTTACACACTTGAAGTATAGACTCGGGAGTCTTACTTTCCTGAAAGCAAGAGAGGTAGACGAGAGCAACTAGAAGAAAGAAGGTGAGAAGAGACCAAACCCTGAGTAAGATTAGTAAAAGTGGGTAGGAATATTTGTTGCACAGGAAGTACTGAAGAGAGGGACTGGTGCTATCATTAGCAGCAAGACAAGAAAATAAAGTGAGGAAAGATAATATGCCTACTTTCAATGGACTAAAATTATTTATTATATGATATTAGATATATGAGATTAGATAATATAATATGAGATAATATAATAGTATATAAAATCTCTTGATTTGGATATCTTCAGCAGCTTAACTGTTTGTTTCTTGAGGAAAATAATATTCATTGTTGTAAATATCTAAGTGGGTAATGGCAGAGGGTGAACCATTTTTGCAACTCTTCAAATAGTTTAAAGGATACAATGTTATAGTGTTAATGTAAGGTATAGAGACATTTCATATTTCAGGTGATTTAAGGTTGACAGATGTACCTGTAGCAACCCCAATAGGATCCAGGGGTGGTAACCTGAAATGTCAGGTGGAGACTTTGAGGAAAAAAGAGAAATGTTCACTGTGTTCTAGGCTGTCCTCGCTGCCTTGAACATTGCACTGCCCAAAGTTCACTTTGGATTTCTCAGATTAGGAGTTGAAACCTCGATTTATTTTCTATTGTCGATTTATAATAATTAAAGGTTTTTGGAAAATTATGTCTTTGGAGAATTTTAAACTGTTCATTAGAGAATGATTGATTAAAGTCATGCATAAGAAATTATCATTCCCTAACTTCAGTTCTACATTTACCACTGACTCTTGATCTTTTTTTGTCTTAACGAATCTTAGTTTGTCTTAGTGAGACTTCGTGAGTCTTAGTGAGACATTAATCAGGCATGTTTGAAATTGAGCATATCATCTACATTAGTCCATTTTCATACCGCTATAAAGAACCGCCTGAGACTGGGTAATTTATAAAGGAAAGAGGTTTAATCGACTCACAGTTCAGCACGGCTGGAGAGGCCTCAGGAAATGTACAATCATGGCAGAAGGGGAAGGGGAAGCAAGACAACTTACCCACAAAGCAGCAGGAAGGGATGAGTGCCAAGCAAAGGGGGATGAGCCTCTTATAAAACCATCAGATCTTGTGAGAACTCACTATCATGAGAATAGCATGGGGGAAACCACCCTCATGATTCAATTACCTCCACCTGGTTTCTCTCTTGATACATGGGGATTATGAAGATGACAATTCAATATGAGATTTGGGTGGGGACATAAAGCCTAACCATATCATCATCTATCTTCACTTTATTTCCTTGTCTTTCTGCTGATAGTACAGGTTCACTTTCGTTTCTCTCTTTTGCCATCAAATATAACATCCAGTTTAGTTGGTCATTACATGTTGTCAGGGCTCAGCTCAAGGCATCACTTGTTTAGAGAAGTTTTAACCACTCAAGCAAGACTAGACCATTCATAACACCCTACAATTCACCACTGGGTGTTTATGGTATATAAGTAATAAAATACTTTTAACGTTGATTTCCTTTGCTACAATGTAGATGAGTAAAGACTGGTTGTGTCTTATTCACCAGTATGTTCCCAGCCCTTGATGGATAACCCTGAATGTAGGATTGTTTGGTGGCCACTTGCTTAATGCATGATTGGAAAGTTTCTTCAGGTTGTCTCTCCTTTTGGTTTCTTTCTTCCATTCATACATGGGCCACTCTAGAACAAACTCTTACACTTCTATAACTGGACTATTTTAATATCCTCTTAATGATGCTTCCTACTAAGAGGATTTTCCTGCTCCAATATAGTCTTCATTATTTATATAGCACCACTCTGTTGCTAAAAAAGAAACAATAATTACTTCCCAGGCTTAGGAAGTAAAAACCAAATACTTGAACTTCCAAATCTGGCACCAAAAAAACGCTCTAAACTTATAAAACTCCTTCACAAGAAACTTTCACCCCAGTAAAACTTGTTGGATGGTTAATCTCTACAAACTCCACTTCCCTTCATACCAGTCCACTTTCTCAATAAGCATTTTTCCTTATGTCTATCCTTGATAAACTAAGTCATCCTGGATAACCTATGTCAAATCTCATTGCTTCCCTATAGCCTTTCCTTTGTCCTAGCTGGACAAAGACAGCAGGCTCTATTTGTGTTACAGACTGGCATTTGATTCTCAGCTCTGCCTCGGACTACATGGCCTCATTTTCTTATCTGAAAGTGCGATATTAACACTCACCCAAAAGGAATATGATATAAATAAATGAAATAATTCATATAAGGTATTTTGATATGACTTTTTGATTTTGCTTCAGAATCATCCAGTTGTAAAATACATTTTGGGGCAACTGAACAAAGTTGAAAAATAATCTGGATAATAGATGATATTTTGAAATTACTACTGATTTTATTTTATGTGACAATATTTTTATCATGTGACTAACGTCTTTAGTTTTGAAGACGTAGGAAGTTAGAAATATTATGTTTAAATTTTACTGTGATATGATCCAGCAAAAAGTATCAATATTTCTAATTAAAAATGCTTAACATCATTTTAATTTAATAATTGACTACATAATTGTGTATAAAAGTTAATTGTTATTTTATTTATATCCTTAACAATCTAAGCTTTATAAATGCAAAAACAAGTTATGTCTGGGTCAATGCTGCATCTCCAATCCTTGGCAAAGAGCCTTGGGCAACAAGATACTTTTTACAAGTAGATACATAGATAAATACTATAGACAGGTAGATATGTAGATATATACATAATACATACTATAGATAGGTAGATACATATGTATATATAACACACACCTGCATACATATGCATGCATGTAAAATATTCTAAAATATGAATACTTATTGAATCTAATTAGTGGGCATACAGGTATTTTTTGAACTATTGTTTCTATTTTCCTTTGTATAAATTTCCAATATAAATTTCTAATTGTAATCACATGTATTCATTTGAAACTATATGCCACTAAATTACAAATATAAAGTACTTTGCACATAATATGTGTTCAAGAAATGTCATTCCTTTCCATTATAACATCTATTTTCAGTCACTATCACACTATAGAATGCCTTATTTTTTACTTTCTGAGTTCATTATTTATCTCCAACTATATAATATAATTCTAGAGGACTTTCTTCTCCATATCTTTACTTCTTTCTACACACCAAGTTTATAGCACCTTGTTGGAAATAAGTAAATGCCTATTGGATATATGAAAAGGTATCCTTAATTTTCACTTCTAGAGGGAAATTTTAATCAACTCAAGGACAAAGGACTATACTCCTACCCTAGTGTACCATTAATTTTTACTTTTTCATGGATGAGTAGACTGTGAGCCTCTTGAAGGAAAGGGTCTCATATCATACATGTTTTTTAATCTATAGAACATAGTATTGTGCCTGGGATACTTACTGGGTGTTTGTTGAATGACTGGATGTATGACTGCCTGAATGAATAATATAAGAATAAGAGGTAATTATTTAAATACTTTCAATATTGCACAGATTTTCTTTAGAGGCAATTGACAAAATAGAAAATGAAGTTTAATTCATTCTACCCTCTATGTTGATCTTCAATGAAGTCTTCATACCGAGAATGAAAGACAGACTACTGAAAGCCATGGAGATACCAAAATAAAAGACAGTGAAAAGAAATAAGCAAACAACCAAAAAATAATTATTGGCATATACAAGACAGCCTAAACAAAGATATTAGGAAGTAAGAAGAAAGTTTCAACGAAAGATATTTAGAAGTCACAGAATTTTAGAGATGCCACACCATGTAGTTTCACACTTCTTTTTCAGAGGAGGAAGTTTAAGCTATATGACTTGTTCTAAGTAGGTGGATACAAATTTCCAGATTCTTATTAAAATGAAGATGCAGTCACCTGAGTTACTAACTTGACTTTCCTCCATTATCATTTCCCTGATCACTAGAAAGAAAGAATAAATTGACTTGGGCACACAACAAAAAGTGTTTGAAAGCTAACTCTAGAGTTATTATTCTCTCTGTCTAGCTTAACCTGTTCTCCAAAGACAGAGAAAGAGGGAGGGAGACAGAGAGGAAGGGAGGGAAGGAGAGAGAGACAGAACAGGGTTTAATGTGGGCAGAGGCATTGTGAGAATGGGAGATCAGAAAAAATTATACGAAGAAAAAAATTACAATGATGAAAAATGCTTGGTTTAAAGTTTGTGTTTAAGGATGTAAAACAAAAGCAAAACGATTTTGGACATTTTTCTTTGGTGTTGATTCAGAGCTCAAAAATCTATTCACAATTAAAACAGAGAAAAATGTGATCTACTTACCCATTCTGTATGGCAGCTGTGGGGTCATAGGTCAAAGCCATGCCAGCCTATATATAGGACAAAGAGGGAAGAAAACAAATCTTAACGTTTTTATTGTGGTGCCCAAAACATTTAGTACACACAAAGACTCTTATCATTACTTTCCATGATTTAAGTTTGTTTTCTTCTGTATATATCTCTATCCTTACTGCCAAGACTAGCATTTTTACTATCCACAAACCAGAATATACCAGTGAGTTGGGAGTTTATGTTATATATTCAGACATACCAAGAAACAATGCAGCTTGGAGATTTCCATTTTTATTTCTTAAAACATCCACTGTCTAACCTCACTTTCTTATAATTTCACACTATTGTCAAGAACACCTATTGTACGTCTCATGGCATGATAAAAAAGTAAGAACGAATCCTGCAGTTAGGATAAAAATAAAAGCTACTTAAAATGCATTCAATTTTAAAGAAGGAAATGTTTAAAAAAGTATTTATTTAAAAATAGACCATATGCCTAAAGGGTGTGTAGGTAATGACTCCAGAGTGCTTGTTCGATATATTGCTATTTCTTATCTTAACAAGAGTGATAGAAAGGGGAGGTCATTTACATATGATGAAAATTCTAGAACACATGGCTAATAAGGAGGTAGTTTTGTTTTGTTTTTAGGAATAAGACCACCTCAGAAAAAGTACACTTCTTTATAACTGGACATAGTTTCTGAAAAGAATATAATCTTCATGAGTGCTGATTCACAGTCTACCTTGTTCCTTCATGTACATCATCACATTTGATCCTCACAACAATCCTATGAAGTAGGCAAGAGGAGTATTTTCTCCATTTTATAGATGAAGACACTGAAGCTTGGAAAGGTCAAGTGACTTGCTCAAGGTCACATATTTGGAGGCAGAACCAGATTTCAACCCGTCTTCTGATATGGGCTCCTTTCCATTCCTTGGCTATGACATTGGCCCAATAATTAAATTAGACCTGAGTATCATATCCAACAATATGGGGACAGTTTCTCTGTGGCCATATGGGCATGCTATCCTTTGTTTACCAGGACTGTCAACATGGTTAATACTTACAAAGCTTACAATGTTGAATGGAATTTAAAACTGTCCAGGTTACCTTTAGGGTGGATTTTTTTTTTCTTTTTTCAAATTTAAAACTGAATTAGATCAACATCAATGTCCTGGCTTTGATAGTGTACTATAATTACTTAAAATATAAAAATTGGGAGAAACTTAGCAAAAGGTAAACAGGATATCACTGTACATTTATTTTGTAACTTCTGGTGAGTCTATAAATTCTCCAAAATAAAAAGTTAGAAAAAAAGTGGATGAGCTATGAAGACTTTTGTAAAGGATAAGAAACCATAGACATTTTAAAGAAAACAAAATACCTTTCCTGTTTGAGTTTTTTTATTTTTTTATTTTTCCATTGAGGTTGAGGATGGTTTTCTTGTTGGGCTCATTGAATTCTTCAAATTTAGCTTATAAATGACATGAAAATTCTCTATCTTCTAACAGAAGGCCTGATGTACAGTATAGCCTGCTGTTTTCAGCTTAGATTGCATGCATTCTTTCCATAAATAATAAATTTTAAATTATTATGAAGATTGGTATAAGGAACAAAAGTGTAGAGCCATATATGAACGGAATTGGTATAAAGGGATTGGTATAAATTGAAACGGAGTTCGCAAACAGAATTGAAATGACTGTCAGAAGTTAACAGAGGTGCACCGAGAACACATGTTTAATGATAACTGCGTGACCTCTTTAAATTTAAGAATCTCATTCATGTTAAAGAAATATGCAACTGATAATATGACAAGCTGGAGGACTGAGAAATGAGAAGAGAATACAACAACAGAAATGAAAAAAGGGATTTTGTTTTTTGGAAGAGGCAAAAAGATAGTGGTGTGAAGATGAACAGAGATTCTAAATTTAAATTCTTCCCAGGGATGAAGCCTCTGCCACATGACCGGCTCGAGGTTGGCCATAGGCTGAACACAGAATGGAGCTGTCCAGGGCTTAGCTGAAACTCTCTGGTCTCAGGAACTGGAAAGGGCAGTTGTAAAAGCTGTCCATTTGGAATTAGATTTCCCTCTTAGGAACACTAAGTTTCTCTCCCCTAATTTATCCAAGATGTGGCACTGCAGGTAGAATAAAACAGGTGGGCTTTATATTCAATAGAGATATTATTAGTGAATGAGAGATTTAGGATGATAGTCGTATCTTCAGTCGACTAATTATCTCAAATCATTTAAGTCCTGGGGACTTATAGGAAGCCTTCCCTAGTCAACTGCACATTTACTTCTTTTTCCTTGTACTTATTTTCCTACGGTGCTCAGAGAGACCAATGCTATCCAGCCCCTCCTAAATTATGAACTGTTTTGAACATTCACTTTTTATGTCATGCTTATTTGTTCTGGCCACTTAAGAATTTTTTCTTGCATTTTACTTGAATTCCTCATAGATTCTAGCTAACCAAACAATTCTAGCTAGGAATACAGTAATTATCAATAAACTCTCTTTATTCAACACACATTTGTTAAGGAAAAAATCCTACGTTGACCTCTTTCTTCATCTTAAACCCCCATCCTATCTTTCAGAAGATGGAAAGGAATTGACATCAGTAGGGTGCAGTGGAAATCATATGTTTTGAAATCAGACAGACCTGAGTTCAAGTTCTAGCTCTGTTACCTTGCAACAGTGTGACTTTGGGCAAATTATTTAACCTATTTGAGCCTCAGTTTCCTCAACTGTTAAACAGTTTAATAATACCTACCTCAACAGATTGTTGTGAAATTTAAAAGAGATTATGTTTGTAAAGCGCCCAGCACAGTGCCTGGAGACAAGACGCATACGTAAATATTATAATACAAAGCAATATGTGCCATATGCTTTATGAGTGGTATAGATGGGGTGCAGATGAGAGAGGCTGGGGGTGAACAGATAAGGCATGTAGAGAAGTACAGGTGAGCAGAACCTAAAAGATGAGGAGTATTTCCACAGATGGAGATGAGAAGTCAAGGCCAGCTCAGCCAAAAGAAATACTATGAAAAAAAGTATATAAATAAAAATGGAAAAGTGAGTGAGCTATTTTCAGTAGAACATGTGGAGGGGAGAGTGGGAAATAAGACTCCAAAGGTAAGGACGGAGGATCTTGATTGCCCAGCTCCTCTTGCGGAGCGACTGAGTATTTTTGAGCAGGGATGTTATATACTCAAAGAGTGATTGGGGAACAGGAGTTAGCATGAGCGCCCTGGAAAACACAGGGTAAATCCAGAGGAATGAGCAACTAGAGTAGGTACCTTGGGAGAAAAAGGTGGGAAGAATCTAAGGTGAGATTTTCATTGCAAAAGGGTAGGGAATAAACACAAGATTCACCTACTTCATGATTTTGCCTAGGGACAGTCCTGTCTCTGAGTACCTTTGGCAAGAGGAGACAACAAGAGATAGTGTCAGGTCATATGCATTTGGAACATTGTGGGTAACAGCACGGCATGAGTTAAACAAAGGGTTGTTTGAACTTAACCCATTGGCTGAATATAATAGCACAATAACTAACACTTGGATACACCTGGTTTCCACTTCATGTGTAACAGATTGTTGAGTCATAATTCTAATATGGTCTTAATGCAAATTTTGCATTCAATTTCCTTTTGTCTCTTTCCACAAAAGAAAAAAGGAAATCGATTTTGCTGCTCTGTCAAGCTACCTTTATACTAAGCTAGAACCATGAAATCATCATTATATAATCACTAAATATTATGGCATGTTTACAAACTCAAGAGTCACACAAAAAGTAAAATACCTTGGAACAAAATGAAAATGTCACACCACGTATGTAGAAAAGTGATGCTTAATCATGTCACTTACTTTTAAAAAGGAGTTATTAGATTCAGAAATATTTTCCATGTTTCAGGTACATTATTTGTATATTGGAGACATTCATAGTTTATTTAAAATAAAATGGGGCATTTTTGTCATTTTCAACAACAGTTAAGTTTTAATTTAGTATTTCAGCCATGTTAGGACATTTCTAGGTCTTCCAGACAGGATTTTTACTATGGGACCTAAATATTTTAGAAGACAATATTTTCAATGGTATATTGCAATAAATAGGGGATTTTTACTTTTAACAAATACATCTTTATTTTTAATAAATTCACTGAGACAAATCAGTTGACTTAGGAGATAGCTATTTGATATTCATAACTGTAAATGATTAGGTTATATCAGGAGGTAATAATGATGGAAATACTGCTTAGAGAGTACACATTAGGGACCAGGCATTGCTACTTCAGAAAGATTCCCTAGACTGCAATGCTTAGTCTTACTTGAGGAGCAGAGAATCATTGACGATAACAAAGCCAATATGATGATGGCCTGAATGACTTTTTTTTTTTTTTTTTTTAACCATTGTTGAAAGTATTTTTAGACTGCAAAATAAATGGGGATCAAAAAATTGGGAGCAGCAAAATTTATACAAACCGATACAGACTGCAGTTCCTGGACAAATAAAACATTGATATTTTAGCCTAATATTTCTCCTTTTCTGAAGGTCTGGCCTCATACATAATTGGGTAAATTACAAACAAATAATTATAAAGATTTCTCATCTTGTACAATCAGAATTAAAACAACACTTTAATAAATGTATAGAAAATGTTGAATATTTTATTAAATATTGTATACTGAATTAGCACAAGTTGAGTTCAAGAAGCTAATAAAAACAAATATAATATTGTTTTCTGGATGTTATATTTAAAGTGTTTATTTCTTGCAGTGAATTTTGACAATATTTACAACTGTTCACCGGTTATGATTAAAATTCAATAAAAATAAGTTGATTAAAAATTATGTATAAAAAGGGGCTTAACATTATGACTTATAAACATCTAGGTACTGCTGCTGAAGTAAAATTTCACTTAACTTTGCTCATATTTATTTGATAGTATTTCTATTTAGAAAGCTTTAGTGAACAAGTCATGATACAAAATTATGTGTATAATATGTATTGAAAGCAAATATTTTAAAGATTGCTGAC